GGTAGAGAAGCTTTATTTCAACATGTTCTAAGTATCTCTCAGTGTTTTCATCATTTTCTAGAGCATTTATGCCGCATTGTCGTATATTTTTTAAGTCTGTTGTATTGATTTATTGATCTAGAAATGATTCTGGTTGTAGGACTTCTTTAATCTGCCTACTTTCAAGTTTTCTGGCTTATTACCTGCACAAAAAAAACGATCAAGTACGTCCTGAAAGCACAATCTGGATCACTGGATGGGTCGTTTAAATGAGTACAACTGCTGTTAAGTCGATCTCCTTTGTAGAGAAGCTTTATTTCAACTAGTCGTCAATATTTATCAGCGTTTTTCACCATGTTCTAGAGCATTTCTTTTTCTTTTTCTTTCTATTAATTTATTGATCTACAGAGGATTCTAGTTCTTTTTTCCGCCTGCTTTCAAATTTTCTACGACTACTTTCAAGTCTTAAATGAGTGCGAGCGCTGTTAAGTCATTTAAAAAGGTCTATTTCTACGTTTCTGCTGGTAGAGAAGCTTTATTTAAATATATTCTAAATATCTGTCAGTGTTTTCACCATTTTCTAAATCTGCTGTATTATTTTACAGATCTAGAAAGGATTCAGGTTCTCGGACTTCCTTCTTTGGACGACTTTCAAGTTTTCTGACTTCCACGAAAAGCAACCAAGTACATCCTGAAAAAGACAATCTGGATCCTCAGATGAGTCTTTTAAGTGAGTACAAGTGCTGTTAAGTTGATTTATATTGTAGAGAAGCTTTATGTCAACTTGTCTTCAATATCTGTCAGTGTTTTTCACCATTTTCTAGAGCGTTTTTGTTGCACCTTCTCGATCTAGAAAGGATTCTGGTTTTAGGACTTCTTTTTTCTGCCTACCTTCAAGTTTTTTACAACTACTTTCAGGTCTTTTAAATGAGTACGACCACTGTTATGGTTATAACAGATCTATTTCTGCTCGTAGAGAAGCTTTATTCCAACACTTTCTCAATATCAGACGTTTTCTTCCTCTTTTTGCTGCGTCTCCTGTTAATCTATCAGCCTGTTGTCTACATTACACTGCTCTAGAAAGGATTCAGCTTCTATGACTTCCTTTTTTCCGCCCACTTCCAAGTTTTCTGACTTATTACCTCCACCAAAAAAAACAGCCGAGCGTGTCCTGAAAAGACAAATCTGGCTCACCGGATAAGTCCTTTAAGTGTACCGAACGTGAAAATAGGCCACTAAAAGGATTCTTTGATTGTCTTAGGGAGAAATATGTTGCATCTGCCGCGCAGAGCTTTGGACGGGCATTATCAGGGATTAAAGGAAACCCCTGGGGTGACAGTGCTCTCCCTGAACGCTGGAATCCCTTCTCTCCCCAGCTGTCAGCTCGTTAGTCCCACCCAATGAGCTTCTTTGATGACGAGGGGTATCAGTTTCCATGGCGTCCGAGACACAAACAGCTTGGGAGATTAGGGACGGAACTGGGCCCTGATTCTGCGCTGATCCCACCTATCAGCAACAAATAAACACCTTGGGCCGAGGCAGCGGCTGCGTGCGGACCAGATGGACCCGGGCGGGCTTTAATGAAGCAGCTAAATAGCCGGCGAGCAGGGAATTCGCTAATAGCCGCCTTGTCAGAGCTGCAGTAAATACCCCGACTCTGGCGCTTTCTTCCATCACCCGGTTCCTGACGCAGCCGGGCCGAGCCGACGGGGAACATCTGCGCCTCATTTTTCTTACACGAGCTTTTCCGCCGCAAAATCCTGCAGTTTAAGTTTTCCAGGTTTTGGGTTTCTGGCCTTTCGTTTTGATCCCGGTGCCACTTTCTCGCTAAGCTGGAACCGCGACTGTTAATAATGTTTGTAGATCACAGTAGGTGGACTTCTCTCGTTCTGTTTGAGCTCTGATCCAACAGAACGTCCTGCGTGTCGACTTCAGAAGACGAAACTGTTGGTTTTAATAAAGATTCTGATGTATGCGTGTTTTTGCAAAGACGAACTTCATGGAGGTTTAGAAGTCGTAACTCATCGTTAATCAAGGATTTAATTCCTCTTAAACTAAACACATGCAGATAGTTAACAATTTCCCATCTACAAAGCGGGTTTCTGATTATTTGCTAGCTGCTGGTTAACCCACTTGTCATGAAACCGCACACTCAAACATTGTGCTCCTCCGCTAACATATTCCATTAAGTCTTAAACGCGAAGAATAAGTTTGTGAAAAATAGGTCAGACGCCCTTTTTTTTTTTTTTTTTTTTTTAGGGGGAATTTGGCATCAAAAACAC